GGAGGAGTACCTGAGGGACCAGCAGATGGCAATGCGGGAGCTCATCGAGGACAACCGCCGACTAAGGGCCCACATCGAGACGAGCGAGGCCCAGAGGCAAGCGGTACCTGCGGGAGGAAATGAATCAGCTCTACCTCAACCGCCTCGAGAAGTACCACCTCCTCCTCTACCAGTACGGCAACCCGGTGATCTACCACAAGTTTCTGCAGTTCCTGCTCCACCAGTACCCCCTCGACTACCTGAGCAGCCGACAACCGCGGCTCAACCTGACGTGCATGGACGTGGGTGGTTTGGAAGCCTGCTTGGAGGAGGACGTGTAACCCCTCCCCCAGCTCGCCGAGCAGAAGAACCAGATGGACCAGGGAGTACCTCGGCGCAACGGTGGCTTGGACCTGCTCCACAACTACCACGTGAGATGGCAATCCTGGTTGAGGGTATGTCCCAACTTCAGAATGCTATGGTGAAACAGCTGGCTACGGACACCAGCCCGAAGGGACCCGAGACGGTGAAACCAGGAGCACAACTACCTCAACTACCACCTCTTGGTGAGGACAGCCCCATCGACTACCAGGACTGGTTGACCCAAGTGGAGGCCATCATGGCGGACATGTCGGACAGTAGCCGGACTTGGTTCCAGTTGGTGATGAAAGAAGTTGAGATGGCGTACCTCGCCTACCTGAAGGCCTCCCCCATGGACCGGTTGAAGCTCCGGCCCACGGAGCCCGAACACCTCGTTGCTGGAGCCTACCAACGGGTACATGCGAGGGCAGCTACCATGTTGATGGCTTCGCTTCCTTCTGAGGTGAAGTCAGAGTTCGTGGCGACAAGGAGAACTTCGGTGATCAGCATGCTGTTCAGGCTGGCCGTGCTCTACCAGCCTGCGGGGGAACAGGAGCGGACCCTCATACTTCGGAAGCTCCAAACTCCCGGCATAGCAAGCACTCCCACGGAGGCCATCACTATTCTGCGGTCGTGGGACAGATGGTTCCTGAGGAGCCGCGCCATCGGTGTAGTTCCTCCTGACCCGTACATCTTGGTCAAGGGCCTTTCTGG